ATCTTTATTAATAACAAATTAATTATTAAACAAAAATATTAAATATAAATTAGTCAAACGTGCATTGCACGTTGCTTACACCTAGTAAATAATATAAATTTCCACGTAAAAAATATTAGGCTATATTTGATTACCATTCTTTTCCATGGAACTAAGAATTGATTTTCCATTTCCTACATTTTTGCTTGTTTGATGCACAATATTTTCTTGACAAAACATTTTCCCACATTTGCCCACACGTGCACATTTGCTTGGTTTTTGTGAAATTGCTTTTCCCACCATTTTGGTGGGACTTTTTTTTATTTTTTATTTTTTTGCAATTGGAACAAATTTTATAATTAATTGTAAAAAAATAATTCACTTTAATAGACAATTTTCATGTAAAACAAAATCAAACAAACACTAAACTTTGATTTAAAAAATAATTTTCTAAGAATTTTTTTTTTTTTTTACTTATTGGCGATGAAAACAAATTTTATAATTAATTGTGGAAAAAATTATCACTTTAATGTACAATTTCCATATAAAATAAAGTTAAAACGAACACAAAATTTAAAAAAAAAAATACACTTAATTTTCAATTCTCTACAAAACAATTTCTAAACAATTACTTTCCCTATAATTCATTTTCTTTCCACCAATTTTCAATTCTTGCAATCAAACGGACCCTTAAAATTTTGAATCTTTTGATGTTCGTTTGACTTTATTTTACATGAAAATTGTCGATTAAAGGGAAAAAAATTTACAATTGAGGATAAAAACCACCAAAACCATGGAAAAGCAAATTCAAGAAAAATGGTGTCATTTGAGGTGAAGTGTGGAGAAGGTATTGCCTAGAAAATTTTGGCTATCAAACAGCCAAAAAGGTGGAAAATGAAAAATAATTTTCAACTTCCATGAAAAATTCTACACATCAAACAAGGCCTAAGAGAAAAAAAGGAAAAAAAATTGGTATGCACCTAAAATGAAAGAAAGAAAGTTCTCGCCTATTTAATCATGAAATTTTTTGCGGCAATTAAGAATGTATGCAAGAAATTGTAATGTGTATAATTATAGGTGGAAGATGGTATACAGAGAAATTTTGATGTAGGTGTATGTATATGTATAATTATATATTATAAAATGGTATATCCGAAGGGTCATGCTTGCTCCCACTTAAATAGGAAATTTTCAACGTGTGGACAAATGTTCATTCTGATCTCATTTCATAATTTATGTAGTTCTTGATATCAATTTAGACAATGCCTAGGTATGTCTGGCTATTCATAAATGCAAAATAATTGTAGATCATAAATAAACAAATTATAAAAAGCTGCCAAACATCCCCTGAATTTTTACATCCATCAACTCGACTGTGAATTTGTGCAGTCATTGCACAGAGGTCCAATAACCTAGGCAATTTCTTCTTTAAGTGAAACTAATTACCTATTTGACTCCCTTTAAAACTAAACAATCTATTTCTCATACACAAACCCAATTATTTTTTTCATGATTTAAAACATCATTTTTGCACAATGATAACCATCAAACAGGGGCTAATGATCACACAAATGATTATCATAAATGTGAACCTTCTACACAACGAGTCGACATCGCTCTTACAGTGAATGAGAACATTTCAAAGGCTTTACAGACTGCCTTCAGCATTTAAAAATTAAAATTGAGTACAAAGACGAGATAGTTGAAAAAAGAACCAAAATCTAATTCATGAAAGAAAATAAACGAAGCTAGAAAAGAAACTATTCATCCTCTCAAGTATGCTTATCACCTTCAAGTCCTTCGTCTACTTTTGGCATATGCTTATTACCTTCAATTCCTTCCGCTGCTGTCGGCATATGCTCTTTCGTGTAAATGCGGTGCTGTCTCTCCCTACCATATATTAGGAAGAATAGCAGAGAAAGCATGGATGCAATAGCAACCATAACCAGCCCCACATAAATCCATTTGCTGTACCGTTGCAAGCCAGGACAGTGCATTCCGTTTATTTCAGTGAATGTTTGTCGGACAAAAGTACAATCTTGTAGATCGACCAGGAATGGACCGAAATGAGACAAGCCATAGCTCACATTTACTGTGGCAGTCATCTGACTGTAAAGTGCCGGAGTCAGACGGCCGGTAGTGATACAGATCCCATCTGGTGAAACTTGACAAACATAGTTACTCCATACCTGCATGGTGGAAAATAAAAGTGTTTATCTTGGGAATAATTAATATTTTGCAAGCCTCAACCTTTGTCCTGAGCTTTTGCCTAGGAGATTATTTTGTAAGCATATTTATGTATATATACTTCGGGATATTGCCTTCCCGGCAAGAGCTAATAAACCTTAGTAAAAACAAGTCCTCGTCTTCAAATACTTAATTCTGTTCCACTTAAGTCATGCATATATACTTCTCCACAGGACCACAACTCTAAAATCAAGAAACGTGTAAAAGTAGAATGTAGTTTACACAAATTAATGCATTATAAATACCACCAACACAAAATTCAAGCCCTTGTAATATATTTCAAAATATTCTTGCGAAATCTATTAGTTCATATTTTGCACTAGTGGCAAGCATATAAGCAAAATTACTTATGCCATTTTTCAGCTATGCAAAATTCGAAAGGATTTAATGAATACCTGTGTTGCATTATTCAAATCCACTTGCCCTGGTGAACACACTCTATCTGTTGTGTCAAAATTAAATGGACTGCAAAGGGTAGGCAGGAGCGGACCGGATTGGTTGTAATACACAGGCTTGAAGTTGGGGGAGAAATTGATGTTCGAGACATTGGTGATGACCTGGTTAATTACTTCAACTAGTTGAGATGTAACTTCCTTGCTCTTTACTAAGGTTTCTTGTGCAGTGGCATTGTCCACACAAGGTAATATATCATCTAAAGCTGTTTGAGCAGTTGGATTTTGTACCCACTGCTCCATTGCTACACAAGTATCTGCTGTCACACTAAAATGAAAAACGGGCCAGTGATTGTAATGTAAGAAACAAGAATCTGATTTAAAAAATAAAGACGACAATGCCAATTATAAGAACATTGAATTGCTGACCAACTGCAAGAGAAACAAAGGCTAACAGCTCCAAAGGACCATTCAAAGAAAGAGTGAAGTGAGTATTTAGCATGAAGAATGCACCAGAAAACTTAAATGCCCGGTTTTCCCCCTCTATCCCAACTGAAATTTTCAGCAGGGGCAAGTATCTTAAATTTTAAGTTTACTGCCTTTCAGTATAGAACACACCTGAGTTCTGTCTGGAAGTTTATTGCAACTATGTAAAAGGTGTTAAATAGTGTGGAGCCTAATTATACTATACACTTATCCGTGACTAGCAGAAGGTCGACCTTCACGGTAAGGTTAATGTTGTGCCGTAGGTCCCTACTGTGACAGAGGTTTAAACTACTACTACTACTACTCCATTAGAGTGAGAACCTACAGCAATGAGTGAAAGTAGCTCTCACTTTAAGGTGAACCACTACAAGTCAGTCAGTGTGTGCTTTATTTGTTAATGATCATTATTGCTCTCGAAAGTAGGGATTTAATCCATAATAATAAGACTATTTTCAGGGGTAAGGAGTTTGGTTCATCAGGCTCAATATCGGGAATCTAGGTTCCATTTTCTGGTAATTTATTAGGGATATATTATCCCCTTCTAGAGCCTAAACTTCTATGTTTTAGCAAAAAGCATGCAATACAAAAAGAGACCAGGAAGAAAATGATTTCAAGTTAGACACTATAAAGGTTTAACTAAATTACTTTTTTTCTTTTTGAAAACAGGACAGGCTGGTTCGAGCAGAAAGACCAGGAACGAGTCTGGTAAAATGGAAAAAACTGAAAAAATGAAAACCGTTTAAAATAAGTCAACACGTGGACGGTTCACCTCAAAATATTGTTTTATTTTTTATCGCCAGTTTGAGCATTTGACCTTTACCCTCTATCTTTTCCACAGTCCATGCCAAGTCGATTTTCAAAATATTGTTAAATACTATTTCCAAGCCAACCTACTCAGAAAACGAAATCAAATTTGTTGTAATCCATTATTTTCCCTGCCAGTATCGTCTGACTACAGAAAACATTACTCGCCACTTTCAGGGAAAATGAACAGTTTAAGCAATCGTATGAGTAAACTAGCTAGCAAGAGGACATAGAGGTGAAAAGATAGATAAGGAATCTATAATTGAACATACTTGTGGAGAAGAAGGAAAATGCCACATAATATAAAAGTTCCTGTCACAAGAATCCATCCAACAATCACCAAGCTGCAACAACAAATTGAAGCACTCTTTTAGAAACATAGTAAACATAAAAGTACAAAAACACTCCAGAAAGCACAGAAATCCAGGGTTAATAGATGAGCCGCTCACATGTACACAAGAAACTGCAAGCCGAAAATTGAAAACACTGAAGAGAAAGTTCAAAGTAAGTATATTGACAGACAAAATGTGATCAAAACAAGTTCCAGTATTATATTTTTTGGCAGTAAACGTGAGAAGTCAGAATAGGCCTACCAAATCCAAGAACTGTCAAGAGAAGCATAACAGCAGAGACCACGATAAGAGCCACTCTCCTGCATTTAACATATAATGTACAAACTAAAAATCAGTTCGAAAGCCATTAAGCTGAAACAAACATTCTGAATGGCATCACTTACACAGATTCAATTACATTCTTGACATCCTCTGAGTTGTCTTGTGTTTTATTAGCAAGTGTACTGGCAGAAGAGTTGATCTTGGTTTGAATCTGATCAATATCGGATTGCACATTAGATGGCAGAAGAACTTGATCCACCGCAATCTGCTTGGCAGCAGAAAGATAATCTGAAACATTTTGAAGATTCTCAGCTGTTGTATCTGCTTGGTCCACAACATATCCCAAAGTATTTACGATACTGCTATGGAACTTTCCCTGACCAGTATACAAAACCAAGCACCCAATGCTGAAAATGTAAAGAAACAATTAGTTTGACAATGAAAAACAAATGAGAACGAACCAATTGTGTGCAATGCATGTGTTGAGTGTGTCGCATAGATAGAGATTAGGAGAGCAGTTTTTGCTAAGCTTAAAAAGTTTACTTATAAGTTGTCAAAGTTGAAAATAAGTTAAAAAAGAACATATCCAGACATGTTGGGATACAGAAATTACTTAAAAGTAACTTTTCATTTTTAAGCTTAGCCAAACATGCTTCTAAAGGGAACGAGAGAGTTACAAAGTGGCAATAGTAAAGAGTAGAGGGAGAGAGAAGTACATAGTGATAACAGTAAAGAGTAATAGGAAAATGAGAGAGAGTGTATAAGCAGTTCGAGAATAGCCATATGGCTCCCTTCGACAGCAACAGTGGCAGAGAGAGATCAGAAATAAGCAGAGCCCAAATACTACAAACCAGGCAGCCGCAAAACCAAACAATGGGACAGCAGTAAAACCCACAGACTGCATGAAAACATGAATTACAATGAAATATATGTTAATGAGATTAATGGGTAGTTCTTAAAGGAGCAGGTGTTCAGTTTATTAGCTAGTCATGCTTGTATAGTTACGGGTTCTTTATACATGATTTAGGATCTCGTCAGTAAACTATTGAATTTTGATTATATAGAAATCTGATCTGTTCCATTGGCTTCATGTTTTTACTGTTAGAAAATAGCTGTTTTCTAATGGACTCGTATACCAATAGTATATATGTTTGTAAATGGAAGTGATTTTATTATGATCCTTGATAATATTTTCACCTAAAAAAGGACTATGCTGTTTATTAAGAACCCTACCCAATAGGAATCCAATCTTAAGATGTGATGGAAATGACTCTTAAGACATGTAACTTTTAATTATTGTATTAATCAAGTAACAAAAGGCATATATTCATTGATTTTGGCACATTTGTAGTGAATGTTTCGAGAATGTACAATAATTCATGAATAATGCTACGTGTACATAGTGAATGATTTTGATGTGAGATGACATTTGTTGACGTCGAAAATTGTATGAACAAGATTCAAGTCAACTTAAAATGTAAATAAGAATTTTATTGATGATAATTTGCAAATTACAATTGTAACCATAAGTTTTCTCTTTTTTCTCAATGAGATATTTGAAATATGAAGTGCTTTTAGCCTTCATTTTTCCTCTCTTCCCTTCCAAAATTCTCATTCTTCCTTTCACAGGGAAGGGTTAGCATGCAGTCTTCATTTCCTTATCTTATCAGCTACAATACCTAATTGAGAAAGTACATCATTGACATGTTTGGATTGATTACTGTGCTCAGCTATGTCAGGTCATTATGAGTTAACCTTACATGTGGTCCCGAACAATTAATTGACTACTTGTACGATGTGTAAGGATTCTTCAATAATTATTTCCCCTCGAACTTCAATAATAACTAATTTGAGCTGATCTCAAATATCTGAGCCTAATACACACAACAAACTGTACTTAACGACCTCGGGGGTCGAATGTCAACACATTAAATGATAAAATTAGAAAAATCCATATTTGGTGTAGATTAAAATTAGATTTGTAGTAAATTTTTATAAAAGTTGATGAAATGCATAATTGAAAAGTTATTACTATCGTGAAATGTGTTGCTACAATTAATTGTTGATTTTAACTTAAAATATTTAGCAATTATTAATCTACACCAAACAAGAGCAAAATAAATCTTATTTTCATGCATTTAGTTGGTCTTATCATTGAACCTGTAACACTGTCAAATGTATGAAAATGATTCTCATTTTATACATAGCAATTTGGCGCCCAATAAAATAGCAATATGAGATTGTTGAATCCTCATTTTGTCGACCAACAAACAATATTTGGAAAAGAATAAGACAACCAAAAACAACGAAATCTCCTAGTGTTTTAAGCTCTGTCAAAATTATTTTTTGTATATACTTATTTTCAACCACAAATTTATGCAATAAAATATTATGCACGTAAACCTAAAACTTATCCTTACTTTTTAACTACACATTCTCTAAAAAATCACTATTCAAAACTCTATTTTACCTAAATAATAGTTGTCAAACATGGGCAAATACTAATCAGAAAGAGAAAGCCCTACTACTGCTAAGCCCCTATTGGACAAAATTTATCTCAAAACTATTTATTTCACATACTCATTTTTAACTATGCATTCACACAATAAAATAAAGATTCGGCATTCTTTCAGGCAAAAGGCATATAGCAAGGGTTCAAAATATGTTATCTTAGAAATGTGTAAAAGAATTAATCAACTTTGTGAACGATGAAACTACATAAGTCAATCCGTTAGCCAATTGCACTTGTGGAGGAGGCTGACTTTGTGGCCAATTCACGGTCAAAATGCTGTGCTCAGAAATGAAAGAAGATCGAAATATTTAGAACTATCAATGTCAATGATTGTAGCTTTTGATAAAGCGTTGAGCCCTAATATGTTCATGGCGTACGAAACGATCAATCGTAGCAAATGCCACGACTTGTCAAAGTAAGCCGTTCAAAATTAATATTTCGAAAATTTCGATAATATGTTAACTTTAAAAAAATTTCAACAATCGTACGCTAATCGAATCTACAAATTGCTTATGTCATCTCAAAACTTATTTCGAGAACTACATTTTATAGGTGTATCAAATAATCCAACAGATATCAAAAATAGTTAAAAATGCGTTAAACTTGAGTTTTAAAAAAATACGTTGAACTTGCATTTTCTTTTAAAAAATTCACTTCTTTCATTAACATTTATTATTTTTGCAATACAAATTTCTCAATGTAATTTTTATCCTTTTATTAGGAAATTTTATATGGAATATGACATAAAAAATTTTCGAAATTTTACATCTGAAAAAATAATATCCCACATAAATTTTCGGATGCAAAATCACATGGGATATGATTTTTTTGAACGTAAATTTTCGATTGTAAAATTTCTCCCAATTTCTTTGCAAGTTCGATTGTACCCCCCTAACTTTTGAGTTCTGCGTCCGCCCCTGATCATTAGTCCAATGATTCATCCAATGAACTAATTTCGAGAGCTTGAAAGTTTCATTTTCTTGTCCTCAGGGGCTCAATCATTCTGATATCTAAAGTGAAAATGATAGTTTTAAAATAATACAATTATTTTTTTAGCGTAACATAGAAATAAGCAAGAATTACTTTTAAAAAAGTAACTTTTTAGCTTAAAATTTTTTTTTTAAAAAAGTTAAGTTATCCAAACATTTTTGAGCTACTAAAGGTGCGTTTGGTTTCTCATTTTCAAGTTGTTTTCAGTTTTTTGAAATACCGAAAGACTGTTTGCTCTTGTATTTTTGAAAATGAATTTTCGAAAACAAGGTCAAACTTATAACATGAAACTCAAAACATTTTTTGTCATTTTCAGTGAAAACACTCAAAATACGGAAATAAGCATTTTAATAAAAATAATTTAAATAGAAATTCTCAAAATCTAAAATAATAAAAAATCTAAAAACATAAATTCTAAAATAAAATTCTAAAGTTCTAGAAAATAACTATTCAGAAAAAAAACTCTAAAATTCTTTAAAAAATAATAATTCATATGAAACAAATAAAAATTCTCATTTCACATCATAAATTTTTATTTTTTTAATTTCTATATTTTTTCAACTTAATTTGTTATTTTTCTGTAATTTACTTTTGGAAGGAAAAAAATATTGTAAGATTCACCAATTGTAAAATGTATATATTACTTGGCATCTATTTGAGCCCCATTTTAATAATATATTATCATAAAATTATTTTATTTTACTGAATAATCGAACTAATGGAATAAAATATTATAAAATAATTTCTTAAATACCAAACCAAATGTATTATTCAATTTTCTGTTTTGAGCAACAGATTATTGTAAACAAATCAAACGCATTTTGAGTAATCTTAAACAGATCCAAAAAAATGAAAATGAATTCGAAACTGAAATACAAATCAAACGGTCCCTGAGTAACTTAAACAGTAATCTTACTTTTTTTTTTTCTCGGATGAGCCAAACATCAAACATGCTCTAATACACAAACAAATAATCACAGAAATTTAAGACTGTCAACAGAAAAGCTGAAAACTTAGAAGACTTACAGCCCAGTAATGGTGGTCAGCGAGGTTCCAGCCTCCTGTGTATTTCTTGAAATCATTAAGAGGGTCTTTTCTATAGGTCCTTTCTGCCGCCAACACTAGAGTTGAGTTCAATTCTAACTCAAAGGAATCCTCTTCAAGAAGCCTTTCTTTTTTTCCCCAAGAAAAAACAGCTCTATTAGTCCCTGCATGATTTTCCAACAATGCAAGCAAAAAAATGCTAATAAAGCATAAGAAAGAAAAAAAAAATAAGCAAAAACCATTAAAAAAAAAAAAAGCGGATATGTACCTGAAATATGAATTGATTGAAGCGTGGGAGAATGAGATTGTGCAATTGAAAATGAAAAGGGCGTGGAAGAAACAAGTAGAAAAGCTGTTAGAATAGAAACTAACAGTGACCTGAAAGATAACATTGTTTGAGTAGTACAGAGCTGGCTTTACTTTGTGGAATTGTGAAAGTAAATTAGGGTAATAAATGGCTCCAATTTCCAGTGCCGCACAGAGAAACAAGGGTTTTTCAGCCAACTACAGCAGCAGTTTTCACACACACATACACTTGCATGTGGCCTTAAGCTGTTAAACGTGGAGGACAGCAGAGGGCAATGATGGGTTTGCCGATTACTGTTAAGCATGTCTGGTTCTGTCGGGCACAATCCTGTCATTCCAAGAATGCCCTTTACCATCCCAGGATTTACTATTTTTGGTTGCTAGTAAAGAAAATATCAAGGTGTATTTGATGGATATTATTAAAATATATATATATTTTTTAAATAATGATATAATGGAAAATATGTGATTAAAAAGTACGAAAAAATTATTAATATGATAAAAAATATTATTTTCTTGAATAATGTATGATTGAAAATGAGTTTTGAAAGAATATACGTCAAACATGGGCTTAGTAAATGGGACTCCAATAATTGTGAGCATTATGTTCTTAACATTATAAAAAGTCTTTTGATTGACCTTACTAATAAAAATTATGCTACAGTTTCATAAAGGTTGACAGAAATATTGACATAATGTCACATAAAATTATATTATTTAACTGTTTAAAACAGTCAATTTTTTCATTAAATTATTTATTGTCACATACACTTTTATCACTGCTACAAATAATAGGAAATCAAACTATTTTTGGAAAATACTAGGGAAATGTTTCTTTGTACATAACTATTTACGTTTATAAAATGTATTACTACTCTGTTCAAAATATAAGTGGAAAAGTTGTTCGATTGATAAGATTGTGATTCAATTAAATCACGTTACATGATCTGTTGGCAAATCATTATGTAATTTGTTATGTATACGTAACACAACCAAAATACTAGGCCTCCATTTGGTAAATTTATAGGGATTGTACTATTTGTACATAAAAATCGTAAATAAGAGATTATATGAAATGACGTGGAGGGAAAAGAGTAGATAAAAAAATTGACTGTATTTTAAATAGACAAATGGTAGAGTGTCACGCGACATTATGTAATCATTTATGAAACATTAATACACATATAACAAGATCCAATTTACAGATGGGTTATTAATAAGAATAGTAGTGGACCCAAAAAATTCAAGAATATCAAAGAGTAGTATTATAAGTTAGAGCGTGTTTGATTGGCGTGAAAAATATTTCCTAAAAAAGAAAATATTTTCCTTGTTTTGAAGAAAATAAAAACCTACTCCTCCAAAGAAAATGTTTTCTTAAAAACAAGGAAAATTAGATATATTTTTAAACATTGAAAAAAAATTTCAATAGAAAAATAGCAATAAAAAAACTCTGAAGTATGAATTTTGGTGGAAAACTGACATTTTCCATGAAAAATAAATGCAATCAAGCACATATTTAGTATTTCACTTTGTTTGAATATATAAACTAAGAATAATGTTAAATGCACATTATTTGGTTGACATTATCTTTTACATTGTACTTGTTTTTTGAAAATTGTGGACGGGAAAATTATTTTGGTTTTTAAATTGTTCAATGATGATTTGTCATGTGACACGATATAAAAAAAATGTAAAAGATGATGTACGTGTAGTATGATTAATAAACTAATTCATAAATTGTGTCCAAACGGGGTGCTAAATTTCGCTTGACTTCACAAACATGAAACAAAACAACATAGGATAAGTATAATATTTTAAAAAGACGAGGAGAATTGTGTAATTTGGCATCAAAACCAAAGGAAAATGGAGGGAACAAATCACCCACTCCATTCAACTTTTAACGGATCTTTCTCCTCAAAACATGCACTAAAATTATATATCTGCACTTTTTTGACTTTTTGACCCAAGCTTTTATCAAAATGGTCCCTACATAACTTTTTTTCTTCTGTCTTTTTTGACAATGTTCTTCCTTCAATTTTGTCTCTCTTTTTTTGAGAGTGATTTATGTTGTTATTTTTACGAGGTATATTTGTAATAGGGTATTTATTTCGGCTCGATTTAATTAAAAAAAATTAGTAAAAATTTAATTCAAATTGACTAATCAAATCGATTCGATTCATAACCATCCCTAAGATTCAATCCAAACGCGGCTCCACCACTACATGATATGTGCATGGTTCACATCAAGTCCGATTTTTATTGCAAATTTTTGATAGATGAGAAGCGAAAGAGGTCATAGCCTCTACTGACTTTAAGTCACCACATTCGATTGCTTTTGTGATTGTTTGATAACTAAAGCACAACCATTACATGGTTGAAACTTACATATTAACATCTCTTGAAATTAAGATGTATTGATCCAATGATTGCATCATATCCCTTATCTTTTTGTCCCCATGTGTGTGATGAAAACGGTATGGAGAGAAAATTAGCTTTGTTCTTGATTTTAGAAGGAAATGAAATTTGGTGTTCTATTATTGCATCTTTAAAAGGTTTTTGGGTCCAAGTGTTGCACATTTTGCATCTTTTCATTCAATAATCCTTTCCTTTTTTTCCCAAGTATTGCATCCTTTTAAAATGTCGTGGATTTTGGATGAATGACTACATCCAAAAGTTATATATAGGACCTTCCAGTTTGCCATTTGATCATTCAATTCCCCAAACATTCTTCCTCAAAATTATGCAAATATTTCCTCTCTAGAAAATCCAATATTTTTGTCTCAAGTTAGTGCAGATTAGTGTTCGCCAGTTCCATTGTGATAATTTTACCTTTCGAACAAAATTTGTTCTATCGTGTAATGCACTTGCTTGAAAATCTTCGGCACTGTGGGACGAATAATATTTTTGAAAAATAACATGAAATCACTAGTCTCATATTTCGATTGTCGTGAAAGTGTATTGTAAGTTCATGTTCAATTCTTTGAATTGATTTTGCTAATCCACGTATTAGTATTTTAGTAAAAACACGTCGAGACCTCTAGTTACCCTCCATTCATTTGATTGTTTATAACACCTAAACAAATTCCAGTTCTTTCTGATCTCAAAACATTGTACTCCTCCAGAAGTATTGTCATTCATTTACCCAACGTACGAAAATATTGGACCCCATTACTATCTTTTAAACTTTGCATCTTACTTTTCCAAGTCGTACTCGTTGACATCATATTCTTTTTATCATCAAGAAAATTAATACCATTGAGGAATTGTTCCTCCATATTTTGCGCATCATCTTCGTGTACATTGTTAACTGCAAGCTTTGAAAGTTAAAAATTCTTGAAATTCCTCATACAAATTGATGTGCTACAATACTCTTCAATTGAATCAGTTACTGCATCACATGTTGGTGTGAATTTATATTTTTTATCCAAATTATCTAAATCAATATTAATTTGTCGCTAAAATTGAGACGACTAAATGTCTTATTGTCGTAGTTGGAGTCTTTCTCTGTCGTTGACTCATCAACCATCACAACTCGATGATCGTCGAGCCATCATTTTAGAAAATCGTTCATATGTTCGATCAATACTTCCATAATCCTAAATTTAATATCTTTCTTCTCTCTTCTTGATCCCCAAACCCTTCTTATTTTCTCTTCGTGATTTTGTCATCTTCAAATCCTTCTACCATTCAAAATTAGTTGCCTTCGTCTTCTTGAGCGAAATGATGAATTTGGTACGAAGGTTTCATCCATTTCCCAAGATTGACAGAACTGAAACTCGTGAAAATACACCCATACGTGAACACCCACTTCTAAGAACTAATTTTATAGTGAGCTATCCTCAGGTATGAATGTTTCCTCAATTTTTCACTTTTACTACGATTTTATGTGAAATTTTTTAGGGAAATTATACAGATAGAGTAGGCTTGTTTAGATCTTTATTTTATTCATGTTTCTTGTATGTAGTGATTGAATTTTGAAATTCAATTTTCTCTTCATATTTTTTATTGTTGCTTTGAATTACAGAAAAAGTTACTTACAAATTCAACTTTCTTCTTGTAACTACAAATTTGAAAACATGTTATTTCTTTGTTTTATTCTTCATGATGTAGATTTATAAGCAAATTGGCAAAAAAAAAAAAATGTAGTAGAATATTTTGAGTATGAGATATTGAACAAATGTAGATGGGCCTATAGGCAGACTTGGGGACATAGCACCATAGGTAATTTCGAATTTGATTTATGTCTACTTTTGTTGTTTAAATATGACTTCCTCATGTTTGAGGCTACACACGCTTATGCATGTTCACGAAAAATAGACTTGCTCCTATAAAGAAATTACATGATAAAATTGTGGCAAAGTGCAACAAGCAAATTATTGTTTTTCTGTTTCCAGAAAATGAAATACCACAATTGTCTTCTAGTTATGTTCCACTTATGGTTTGAGTGGTTTTTGCTTCTAGACTAAATTTTTTTTCCCAACAAGGGTTGAGCTGATAATTGGAAGCAAAGATGACAATTTAATAAAAATTACTATAGGTTATTCGACATTTAAGTATCTGCTTGCTGAAAAATATTTAAATTTCATGTTAGTTGCAATGTTAGTGTTATGAAATTGATATCATATTCTGTGATATCCTTGAAGTCTTGGTAAATTGACACTATTTTGTGTTATTTAACCAAGTGTCTTTTTTAATGTTTTGGACTTTATTGATTATGCAGAGAGATAAGATATGAGATTTTGAGCTCATTCGTTTTCTTAAAGTTCCACGAAATACTTACTCTTAACGATTCTTTGATGAACATTTATATTGTATTATGGTATTTGCTTGTTATTGAGACATGGATGAATTATTTTTTTCTCCTATAATGTGGCTTTCCCTAGTGAGATGTGTTGGATTCAAGAGGTTTGCATGAAATGTAATATGGTAGAGGAATAAAAAATCGTGATTTTTCCCATAACTAATATATGGTAGTATTTTGCACGTTTTTTCATGATAAAAATTGCATTTTCTTGGTTGGACTTGTAATTGATATGTTAGTTGTTGAATTTTCCATTATGGCACCCTGAAGTTTATCTAGTTCCGAAAATCGCACCCTGTCGTTTATGAAATTCTGAAAAATGTCACATTGCCGTATCTGTTTTTGAAAATGAATTTCTAGGTATCACTTAACATTACTGTAAATTTTTCATATTTGTTCATTGATGTAGAAATAGAACACTCATTTGAGTTTGTGATTCCGCTGAAGATAGAATTAAATATAGGCATTCACATAAGTGCTCTCCTTAAAAACTTAACTATGTTCGAGAAGTGTTAGATGATGTTCACCAAGAAATGCTCATGGAATCTTGTTTTG